GGGCTCTAGTGGGCACAGATAAAGGGAGCAGCCCAAAACCGAGTTCAGTGGAGAGGTTTTATTGCAGCCCTTTGCTCCCCATGGACCACAAAGGAATATATATATATATATATATATATATATATATATATATATATATATATATATATATATATATATATATATATATTCTAAATGTTTTATTAAGATTTTTAACATTTTAGTTGTAAATTATTTAAATTTAACTTTCAGATGCTCAAGTGGGTAACTCTTCTTTGCCACAAGCGCCTCAGATAATGTTTAGAGGTGAATATTCTCAAGTGTCACTGTACTGCTCACCTGCAACTTATGGAGAAACCAACTACTGCAGCTTCTACATTAATGGCATCAGGTATTTAAAAAAAAAATTTCTAACAATAGTTAAAAGTATGTTACCTAAATTTTTTTTATTAACAAAATACTCTTTTTAATATGTTAGATTGTTCTGTTTATAAATAATTTTTTTTAAAAATAAGCCATTTTTCTGTGTTAACCTTGATTAAAATATTTTGCCTTTAACAGATATGTTGATGATCAGGACTGTTCAGTGTACTTACCACACTCTGTTGGTGGGTCCTACACATGCACCAGAAATATTTATAACAAAACTGGGCTCATGAGTCCACCAGTGCAAGTCACATTTTATAGTAAATACATTTTTTATCATTATTGCTTTAACAGGAACATATGAAGTTCTATAAGATGTAATATAGAGGTGTAGACCTTTAAACATTTTAACTTACATTATTCTTTCATGTTATTCCAGACAAACCTCGTGTTTCACCAACCACGAACTCCATCTTGAACCAAAATATTGCACTGAGGTGTATCACAGATGTACCTAGTGGTACATACTTCTGGTACAACTGGGATAATTTAGTTTATTCTTCAAACAATGACACATATGAGTTTACTTTAACAAGCAGCATGGCTGGGTCTTACCGCTGTAGAGTTAAAATTAATGAAACTGAAATATGGAGTGAATTTTACCCAATCAGTGGTTTGTATACTATACTGTTTTTTTAATTTTTCATTTATATTTATTTGTGTTACAGAGCTAAATGTATTTTTAAACCTACACTAGCATAAATGTTTATTAATTCACATTTAGAATAATTTTTAATTTAGTGTGAATTTAAATTTAGGTAAAATATACAAATAAACAAAAATTTCTAAAATTTATAGCAATGAATTGGGCTTTTATAAATGTATAACTTTACTATATTTTTTAACCTTTTGTTCTTCTTCCTAATTTTAACCACTTGTACTTTCAGTTTCTCGACCACCTAAACCATCTTTAGACAATTACAACCGGGATTCAGGATTTAGTTTTAATGAGAACAATTCCACAACATTATATTGCTATGCAGGAGATGCTGAAACATATGCATTATATAAGAATGGAATCAAAGTGTCTACTAAACAATCAAGTAACAACTTATTTACAGTAGTTCTTTCTGATTCAGAAAGAGTTATGTATACATGCACTGCATCAAACAGACTTGGTGAAAGTGAAAAAAGTGAACCTGTTTACTTAGGGAAGAAAGGTATGAAGTTTTTTCTTTTACATTTCCTGTTTTAACAATGTGTTTTCTGCATTAACAATTGGTTAGAATTAACTTTTTATAAAAGAATTCTAAGGTTTAATCTCATTTATTAATTATTTAAAATTTTGGAAATAAAAACTTTTAAAAACGTATACATTTACTTCTAATAAAACTTACATTTTAAAAAACGCATTTGTTAATATTTTTATGCTCACACTAAATTTTGGTACACAAAAGAGTAAATAAGAGTAAATAAGATATAATTTTTAAATTTATTATTAAATTTATTTTAATTCATTTTGTTATTCATTTGCTATAGAGACTGTTCATATAACTGCTAGCAGTGAAGTGGCCTCTGTTGGTCAGCCTTTTTCATTGAACTGCAGCGCTAAAAACAACCAGTCATCTGGATCTTACACTTGGGAAATTCATAAGTAATTGTTAAATTACTTACTAAAAGCAAATTAAATTACTATTCTGGCCAATCATTTTTCCCAATGTATAGCCAACAATATTTCATAAAAAGTTAAATAGAAACATTTAAAATGTTTTAAAGCTAATTTCTTAACTAGTAATAACTGTTCTGTCTTATACATTTTTACGAATATATAAATATTTTTGTACAGTAAGTTTAATTTTTTTATAATTCATCTAAAAATTGTCTAAAACTAAACTATTAACTATATGTCTAAAGCATATTAAATAATTTTAGAACTACAGGGATAAATACTTTGATACCCTCTCAAAATCTAACCTTCAATCCACTGACGCAACAAGATGAAGGTGTCTACATTTGTGAATTTACAAAACAAGAGTCAACAGCCAAAGCACGAGATTATTATGTTCTAGCTGGTAAGTCTTGCATTACTTACTTTCTGCTTTCTCTCTTTCTCTCTCTCACAAACCTTTTTTAGCTTGAAAATAAAACATTCAACATTATTTGAGTAAATCATTAATTGTTTTAGAATAAATATATTTTGTCCAATATAATAATTGTTATTAATATAATGATAAATGTGTATATCTAATGCTTAAATTATTCATTTTGCATTTACTTTATAAAATTGTTTTTTTTTTATCAGCATAATTTTTTTATCATTTTCAGTATCACTCCCTAGTGTACCTGAAATCACTCTGAGAAATCAAGCTGGTAGGGGTGAACAAGGATCAATATATTCTAGAGCAGTTGGCGGTGCAACAGTTGCAGAAGCAGACAACATCATAGTGTACTTTGATTGTTATACTGACACTCTTCTAATCAATGCAAGAAATCCATTCCGGTTTGTAGATCTAATAACTTTGTTCACATTCCCCCAGTATTGTATTTATTAACTGTGGTTTTTACAGAACCAAATTATTCCTTGTAATAATTTTTTTTAAAATTTATTTAAAAAAATGTTGTTTCAATATTAGCCTAAAATTACTTTAGTTACTGTTTTATTGACATCTTAACAGCTTCTTATCTTTAAAGAAAAATATAACAGCCATTCAGGTTTGGTGAGTCTTAGATACATCAAATATATTGTTCACTGTAGTTTGTTACTGTGACATCATGTGTGATCAGCACTAAACCCATCGGTTTTTTAATCTACTTGGTACAAGTCAGTTATCCAATAGTTTGTTAGATTTAGGGGTGTCCTCCAGATCACAACCTGGAAATTAACTCACGGCTTTTAAATAAGAAGCATTGTGATTTACTACTTGACCATTTTGTCAATTAATTTGCATAATATGCTTATAAAGTTAGTTGTAATTGAGAGAGTATTGATATACGTGGGATCATGATTATTAATCTTAATATTTTATTAGCTAACATACCTATTTTAAGTGTATGTATTTTGCAATATATTATATTCATTAAACAATTCCTGTTTCAGGCTTTATAAAAATGGAGATGTAGTAAAAAATGTTCCCTATGTGGATGAGCTTTACTTCTCAGGAAAATTTAGCATACAAAGGGTTTATTCAGTGGATGCTAATACTGTATCTAATGAAGGAAACTATACCTGTACAGCACTCAACTCAGTTGGAGAATCTCAGCCATCAAAAGCTGTGTACATTACCAGAAGTTTAGGTGGGCTGTATTTTAATATAAATCTTTTTTTTATATTTTTTTACAAATGTAAAAGAAAAAGCAAATGGAAGATTTTTTAAATTTGAAAACAAGGCTAAAGCTATGCTTTAAGATTCAACATATACAATATTGTTTTCAAACTAAGTTAATAGTTTTAAAAAAAGTGAAAAGATATTTCAATTGTTTATTTTATAATCCATATATTTGCAGGATTTATAAAGCCTCAAGTTACCATGAACAACGTAAATCCACAAGTTGGTGATAACATAACACTTACATGCAACATACTGACACCACAACCAAACTTCATAATAACATGGCAGAAAGATTTCTCAAACATAATGAAAACTGGACCCACTTTGTCCCTCAAATCTCTTACAGTAGAAGATCATGGCTTCTACACTTGCACTTATTCCAATCGTTCAAATGAAGATTACAGCTATTACTGGTTGGAAAAAGTTTCAGACCCAGTTTTTATTTCATGTACGTGACTAATTACATTGATTATATTTATCCAAATCATAATAGAGGCGCGTATAAATTAAATAGACATGCATGAGTTTAAAAAAAAATTAGTGTCTTGTTTGTTATGAATCTATTATGAGTTTTTAAATGTTTGATATTATATTTTCTTAGTGTTACCACCTCTACAACCAATATTATTGTTTAATGCCAACTATCTCGACCTAAAGAACAAATACTATCCTTATGGTGATGGACCAGTCTTTTACACATTTGGTGAAGGAGATACACTACATTTAAAGTAATAATATAGGTGGATAATAAAAATTGCTAAATACTTTTTTTAAATGTTATTTTGGTTTTATAATAGACAAAACAAATATTAAATAAAAAATAAAATAATAAATAATTATTTTATTTTACCAATTATTCTCAGCTCTTATCTTAAATATTATCAGAAAAATGTCTAACTTCTTAATTTTTTAATAGTTGCTTTGTGCAAGTCATGCATATAAATGACTACCAGATTTCTAGTACGAATCAATCACCTTACAACTTTACACTTTATAAAAATCGTCAAATTACTCAGCCTGCAAACACAAATGGCATGTTTACCATTTCTGGACTTACAAAAGGAGACTACAATTTCACTTGTCAAGTTAGCAGAGAAGCACAGCAATCTTTTATGAGTTACCCTCTCTTAGTAAGAATAGCTGGTGAGTATAACAATGTTTTATTTATGATCAATTGATTATCATATTATGTTAATGTGTTATTTTATACAGGCATTAATATGACAATGTAATAATATTTGTTTGTTAAAAGTGCATTTTCATTGACCATTGTGCAAGTAATATAATGATAATTTTTTTTATGTTAAAAATATAATCTTTACATAGATCGACCAACCATTACTTCTTCTGTGCCATCTCCTTCATTGGGTGTTAATCTCACCCTAACCTGCAACACTCTTGTGGAATCTAACAGCATTGAAATTACTTGGAGAAAAAATGGAATCAATATGGGATTGACATCAAATGTTCTCAGTTTAAATAAAATATCTCAATATGATGAAGGAACTTACACATGCCAGCAAAGAAATATGGAATGGACAACACCAATGAGTACAGAATTTATCATTAATTGTAAGTATGTCTGGTATTAAAGGGACAGAGTAGTTGGATGGTTAGAGCTTACAACTTTTAAACCGAAAGGATTTGATTCAGCTTCCTAACTAGAGTATATAGGGCATACTTGAGTCCACCCATCTCTTAATAGCACCTGACTCACATTAGGAAAGCAACTGCATCTAGGAATAATACTTACCACTTTATAAAGAAGTCATTGAAACAGAGAACTCTACTTATCTGCCCCATTTGTCTTGGGCACAAACAGGAATAGATTATGGTTTGATTAATGTTTACAATTTAAAATTAAAATTGCTGAATCTTTAGTATGGCAGTGTAGAATTTAAAAAAAGTAATCTTAAAAACTCTGCATTAAAAAAAAAAAAATTCATTTAAATAGAATCAGATGAATAAAAAAGTGAAAAAGGTTTACATGTATATTAACCTACATCCAAAGTCATAGTTTCATTTTAGTTGAATAATTACATTTTAAAATAATTCTGTGATTAATTTAAAATTGTCTATGTGCATGCTTTTTTGCTATCCATTATTTATAATTAAAAATTATCAATGCTAAAATTCATCTATAGTTGGACTATCACCTTCCAAGCCACAAATTTTCATCACTGCCAATACACCAATACAAGCTGGTTCATCTTTTGCTATCTACTGCCTTTCTACTGGTAGTCCAGTAGTTTCTGCAACTTTCTACAAGGATGGTCAGATAATTTTTAAAGCAACTGGTGGCTATATAAGTGATGCAGGACAGACTGCATTCACTTATCAAATTTCACTAGCAGCTGCTACCAACTCAGGAATCTATTCGTGTACTGTTAGAAACAGCCTCAGTGTTTCTCAGATTAGTGAGAGCTTAAATTTGAATGTGATTGGTGAGTTATAACTTTTTATAATTTGAAAAAATAACTCAAATTACTTCATACAACTGTATTTTAGTTTTAGACCTTACAATATAGTAATTTTACAAAATATACAAAATTAATATTTTGTTATTTTAAAAGCACCACATATCTCTATACTTCCACTTAAAAGTTCACTCTAGCCCTCTAACTTTAATCTAGGTTTTAGGTCCCAAATTTTCTTTTAAAAATACTTAAAACAACACATTGATTCTAATGTTATTAATACTTCTTTCTTATTTAAGTATTAATTTTTAATGATTACAGATGATATTGGCTGCAGTCCAGGCTTCTATATTTCTGTGACTGGAAATTGTCAGCCATGCCCATTTGGTTCTTACCAGTCAAACAGTAATCAGATGGATTGTGTCCACTGCCCTGGCAACTTGTTCACTCTTGTAAGAGCTGCTTCTGATATTGCCCAGTGTGAAGGTATAACCAATAAATTTTTCAATACCTCTGTAATAACAAAATTCACTTTTTTTTCAATTCAAATCAATGTATAATCACATAATGCAATCAGTGTATACTCATAAATAAACAATTCTAAACAATTTTAAACATGTTTAAATTAAAAACCATTCTGAAATTTCACCAATATTTTAACTGATGTTAATATTTTACTTACTATCCATAAAATGATTGTTTATTTAGCTGTTCCAGCAGAAAAACTTCTATATTTGAGAATTACAATAAACAAAACATACAGCTCATTGTTTGATGCTGAAACAAAGGAGTCTGTGAAAACTAATGTAAGCTATGCCTAAATATAGAATCAGCATGCATTGATCCTTGGTGCTTTTGTTTTAATTTTAAAGTAAAATTTCAGTTATTTTTAAAGGGAATGCAATTTAATTGTTGTTTCTGCAATTACTTATATATTGATTTTCATTTTAGTTGAATGATAGATTTCTTTACATCAAAAATGTTGTTGGTGTTCTAATTTATAATGTTAGGTAAGTATTGAAGAAATATTGTTGTTTTGAATTTTCATATAGACATGTGTTGTCCTCACTAATACGATATACAGACTTGTCAAATTTTCTAAGAAATTAAATTTATGATACATTTTTAAAAAAATGTTTCTAATGCTTTGTAAAGAGGATCATTACTTGTATTGAATATCTCTCATTATATCAAAACTATTTAATTATTAGTTATACCAAAGGAATGACACAAAAATAACATTTTGAGTTGAAAATTGTATCATGGATAGAATTTGAGCAAATGTTATCTCAAATGAATGAAATTAAATGAAAAAATAATACTTTTTGTTAATAATAAGTATATTATCTGCTGGTTTCACCACTCTAAATCTGACCATAGTTTCAATCCTAGCAATAATGTAAGAAGAAAAAATAACCAACTTTACATAACACTGAATTAATCTGTCAGTAAACAAAATAGTATTTAAAAAATCTAATTATTAGCCACATACTTTTGCATACGCAAATTATTTATGAAACTCTTTTATATTTTAAACTACCCTTATTTTATTTCTTAATTTTTTTTTTCTTTGTAGTTCTGGTGCAGATGTTGATGAGTAAGTATAAGTCTTTTTTTTTTTATTTAATGCATGACATAAAAACTGTACATTTGAGTTTTTAGTTATCAAATTTGATTGTGTTTGCTATTGTTAAGTGCATAATACTAATAAATACTAACATAATTTTCATAAATATGTTTCAAATTATATAGAAAAGATTAAAATGAATCTTTTTTCTCTAAAGGACAGCAATAACAGCTGCACTTGTAGCCAGCACTGGTGTGCATTCTAACCTGTATAACAGTGTGGGTGCTGAGATCTACAGGAAATACTATAACACACCTACAACAATTGACATCAGTGGTCAAAGTGTTGCTGTAAAAACTGTGAACATGTTTAAATCAGAAAGTGATTCATCTAATTTTGTCAATCCTGTTGGTGAGGATTTTTTATTCATAAATATGAACTCTACTTCACTTGCCCCATAGACCGTCAGGTTTGAAAAAGAAACTTTACTTTTCTTACTTTATGAAGTTTATAGTTCTTTATAGTACTGCCCATAAACCCTGAGTTTAAACCTTGTGCAGATGAGGCCCATCAGCTGGCGGCAGCAATACATCTAGGAGCAAAAACTCCAAAATTTAAAACAACAATTGCATAGCACATTGTTCTTGGGTAAACAAAAGCTATGGAAGCAAAATCCAGAAAGAAAAGCAGTGTGACATCTGAGTAAAAAATTATGGTGCAAAACATGTTGAAACGTAATAATTCAATTGCGTGGGAGTAAAAATCCCCATTTTAATTATGAATAAGAAAAAAGAAGAGAAGAGAGGCCAATCAAAATCTTCATTGCCAAACAATTAGAAACTCTCTAAACTACTGTTTATTTAATTACAAAACATGCTTTATTTTTATATCTTGCCTACTATCTTGTATACATGTTTTAAGCTGTTAACATATCTCACAAATAACCTTTGTTACACAGATATAGATGAATGCAGTTTAACACTAAGGCCATGCGGCCCCTATGAGAGCTGTGACAATGTCAATGGAGTGATAGGCAGCTTCACTTGTACCTGTATTACAGGATTTCAACGTTCAACATTATTGAGTCCTTGCTCAGGTAAAAGCTAACTGATGATAAAACCTAAAATATCTATTTTGAAATGCTTTGATAATCAATTACACATTTGTTTTCAGATGTGAATGAATGTCGACAACCCAACCTTTGTACTGGAAGTTTTGAACAGTGTAAAAACTCAGTAGGAAGCTACACATGTGATTGTATTGATGGCTATACAAGAAGGGCACCACAAGATCCATGCTCAAGTAATACAGTTACCTTAATCTTATCAATTTAGTTATATCAAAACACTTTTAACTGTTCCATATATATATATATATATATATATATATATATATATATATATATATATATATATATATATATATATATATATATATATATATATAAATATATATATATATATATATATATATATAAATATATATATATATATATACATATATATATATATATATATATATATATATATATATATATATATATATATGTATATATATATATATATATATATATATATATAAATATATTTGCACCGCAAATATTTTTTAAAATCAATAACAGTTTAGAAGCCAGCTACTAAATGTCCTCTATGTTTACTTTTATCTATAATCCGTCCGGCATCCTTTGACGCCCCGACAGGGTGTTATTTGGTGCCCCGTGCCTTCTCGTGTTCATTATGGCGCCTACGTTTGTTTAAGTGAGCGCATAAGACTAGGAATAAGTTGGGGTACTATAGTCGTTAACTAAGTTGAATCAGGCGGTTCTGCTGGCACATCAGCATGGTGCGATTTGGCACCGCGGGCTAGACTGTGAACACTTTGCATTTATAATTGCGCTTATATTTTCTTTGTGTTTGTGGTTGGTTTGTGTTTGCATTTGTTTTTGTGTTTTCGTTTGTGTATGTTTTTGTGTTTGTGTTATATTTGGGTTTATTTTTGTGTTTTGAATAAAGAAAGTCAAGTTTATGTATTCTTTATTTTAATTAACTTTCTATTGTAGTTTAAATACAAAAATTAACATTTGAAAAAAAAAAACATTTATTAACAACAGATTTTAGATTTTCTTAACAGATATCAACAAGTGCTCCAGTAACTCTTGCAACTCAAATAAAACTTGCAACAATAGAAAATTTTAATGATCTTTATTAAAATTAATTTACAATTATTTTCAAAATTTTAATATTAATCCATTCTTACAATGAATTATTCTAAATGTAGTAATTGTACAAATAATACATTTTTAAAATTATATATATTTTTATATTCTTTCACAGATATCAATGAGTGCTTTAGTAACCCTTGCACATCAAATAAAATTTGCAACAATTCCATTGGTTCCTACACATGCAATTGTCCAATGGGATATTCATTGGCAGCAACTGGAAACTGTGTTGGTATGTTTTTAAAAATAAAAAAAAAATATTTATTAAAAAACAAAGCTACTAAAAGTTATGCACTAGCATTTTTTTTACTATAAAACTGTTGTGCTTAGTTTTTCACTATAATTCTACATATCTGTCAGCTGCCTCTTCAAAACTATTGGTTTATATTAGTTTTTTTGTTGCTGTAAATATTATCTTAATATGATCTCTAAATTGTTTAGATGTTGATGAATGTGCAACAGTAAAACCATGTCATCAAAAATGTACTAATAATCCTGGTGGATACACTTGTTCTTGCTATGATACTTTCACAATGACCAGCAATGGTACTTGCACATGTAGGTTCATGTTTTCTTTCTTATAATAGCAATTCAAAATTAATAATGTTCATTTTAAGATTTAAATAATCTTTTGAACTTCATCATTTGTGCTTTTTTATATGTTATACCAATATTTAATTTTATTGTTTTAATGATTCAAACAAACATATTTTTAAAATTGTTTTTTTCCCCAGTGATTTATTCAAAGGTGTTGGAACTTAAGTTCCCATTGTTTGTTCCACCAGACATATTATTTGTTAACAACTCAGAAGAATACAAAGCAATCATAAAGGAATTGCAGGGTGCAGTAAGTGTCTTGAATACTCAATTTATAGAAAGAACCTATTTATATTATGTATTAAATGTCTATGTCTAGAAATTATATATTTTAATGTTATACACTTTGTTATTGAAGGGACGGAGTGGTCTAGCGGTAGAGAGCTGGACTGCTAACCCGTAAGTCTCGAGTTCGAGTCCGGTTTCGTAGACCGTCCCTGAGTCCACCCAACTCTGATGGGTACCTAACTCACATTAGGGAAAGTAAAGGCGGCTGGGCATAGTGCTGACAACACTATCTCTTCACATGCCGAGGTCACAGAAACAAGTGAACTCTACTTCACTTGCCCCATAGACCGTCAGGTTAGAAAGGGAAACTTACTTACTTTGTTATTACTTAGTATTAGGATTATAGATATCATTTGCATAAAAACTTATGTTATGTTAAACAATTTTGCACATAATTATCCTGTATTTATTTAGATGAAAAACCAACTAAGTAAGATGGTTACAGGTTTCTTGGATTTTGTTGTGAAAAATATAAGGTAGAATTATTTAAGTTCACAATTTTTTTTTATAATTGAAGTACAGCATTAAGGTATGTTAATAGTAATATATGAATACTCTTTTAAAATTGTGGAATTAATTTGTAAATGCTAATATATTAATCAATTTGGTTTTTTTAAAAACATTACAATAATGTGCTGATTCCATTGTATTCATCACTTCTAATTTAATTATAAAATAAAAATATAGTGCAAATTTGTAAACATTTGTTTATTTTAGAAAAGGCAGTTTGATTTTTGTGGCTGAAGCAATCATAGATAAAAGTGTCAACACAAACCCTGCTGGTGAATTTATCAAAGCTCTGACTAAGCTCAACATGGATCTGGTGACTGTCAATGGCACATACCAGATTAATGCAACAATCACAATTAATAACTTTGGTAAGTTTTCATGATTATTCTCTGTGAAATTATAACTAGTTTAAAGATTTCAGTTTGTATGTATTTTTTTTCAAATAGTAAAATCTGACACGACATGACTATAATAATAGGAATAATTTGTGTCCAGAATTGGAGGCACCTCAATTATTTTACAAAAATATAGATATTCGATTCCCTGGTTTAGTGTGTGGTTCTGGTTCAAACACTGTTCATCGTGTTAAAAACTGCCTTAAAACTGAAAGTAGAAAATTGCTAGTTTGCATTAAAACCGACTTGGGAGACTGGTGAATAATAGTGTTTTCTAGCAGTGTTTTCTAAAAATCAAAGATGAGAGTTAGATGTAATAAACAAAGAGTATGATTATTAAGGAATGTAACATCTAAATACTGCTATATAATGTGTTTGATAATACAATCTATATGAATGTTTAAAATAATAAGGACATTGATGTATTAACTAGAAATATGGTTACACTTGCAGAAATACAAAATTACCAACATTTGTGAAGTAGAGGAAAATATTCTTTATTATAGAATTGTGATTCAAAAATAGCTGTAGCATCAGATGTACTATTTATAAACTATACTTTGGCTCATTATTTGTATTTAACGATAGTGTCGCTGAAACTTATAATAATTATATTAATTTATTTTCTTAATCTAAAAAAATTGTTATGACCATGACAAAACGTTCTAAAATATTCATATATTTTATTTTACAAAGTGATTACAAATGAAGTTAGCCAGTGTGAAGCAAGGTCAAAGGTCGACCCCTGCAGTGATGATGAGATATGTGTTACTGCCAGTGATGGTGTGGCAGTTTGTAAACAGTAAGTGAATTATAAAAAAAGAACATGACAAATATTTAATTTGATTAGAGAGGTTGAGCAGATAGTGACGTGCAAAAGAATTGAACTTCCCTTTCCTGTCTAGTAAACTATAATCATTAAAATTATAATATTAAAATAAAAATACATTAAATAAGAACACATTACAAATTCATTCTAAAATGTAATAATCTAGAAAAAAAAAAGTGGTTTTATTGTGTACCAATACCTAAGTGGGGATGTTAGTGATGTTCACCCACTGGGGTTTAATTGTTAAGGGGCACATCTGAAAGATAACAATGAACACATGTAATATGTTGAATAGCCCATATTTGACGCACTTCATTGCATGCTGCAGAGTGTATACTCAGCGTATCACGCACTTCGACCCACAAGCTAAACATGCTTTGCAGTGATAGATTACATCAATGCTTATGACAACGCCGTGAAAAATAGTTTCAACGATAAAAATTAAAACGACAATGCAAATGACGACGAGGTAGCAGTAGGGGATTAAGTGAGGAGGTGAGAGTGCTGCAACCGGGGGCCCCCGATTTTTAGGGGCCATTGAGATCAATGTCGTCAGATAGCAACAGATCGCGTTAAGTGTTGTTAACAAAAATCTAAAAAAAAATAATACCGTATAGGGTCTTCACTGTAAATTAGTTTTCACTCGCAAACATTCAATCTACCAGCATTTTAAGATACCCTTGCAATCAATGAAAATTTGTGACCGTGTTTAAATTGGGTTAAAATGATAAGCCATTTAATTTACCAAAAGAGACAAAACTATGTGTTGTTCCCCATGAAAAACTTTAAAACTCCCCTCCCCTTTAATGTTTTTTAATACTAGAGAGCAAACCAATTTTTTTTTCTACAGCTTTATTGAGGTGCATTCGAATATGCATTTCCACTTTTTAAAAAATTGGTTATTTTGTTTGGTAACTATGACAATGGCGGCAATCTTGAATATTAACCACTTAGTAGGATTTCCTACTATGAATTCATAATCTTCTTCCATATTTTTGGTACTCAGCTAAAAAATTTAAATGTAGATCTTCAAACAAATTTCTTATGAATGTTTAAATTTTAGATCTGGTAAAAACACTAAATTTTTGGGAGTTTTGGGTCATTAAATCAAGTGTTTTTGACGGAACCACTATATAAAAATTCATAAGAAATTAGTTTTAAGATCTGAACTTATGATCTCCTAATTTTATTTTTTATATTCCGTATATAGAGAAAAAATCGCACTCCCCCAGTGCGCCGCCCTTGTTGTAAATATATATATATATATATATATATATATATATATATATATATATATATATATATATATATATATATATATATATATATATATATATATATATATATTTACAACAAGGGCGGCGCACATATATATATATATATATATATATATATATATGGTGACAGGACAAATGATCTCAGGACAAATGATCTCAGACAAAATATCTCAGACAAAATATCTCACGGACAAATGATCTCAAGACAAATGATCTCAGGACAAATGATCTCAAGGACAAATGATCTCACGGACAAAAGATACCAGGACAAAATATATCAAGACAAATGATACCATGGACAAATGATCTCAGACAAAATATCTCAGACAAAATATCTCACACCTAAATTTTAATAGTGTATTGGATGATTTTAATTGATCTGAATTTTTTTTTTGTTGACTGTCTTATGGTTTTGTTTACTATTTTTAATATTGTTTATAGGCCTATATAATAATTGTAAGCAACGTTTGCCGTATAAAATAGTCATATTGCACTAAACATTTTAAGGTTAGTATTAGTAATATAGTATATCAAGATTAAAGAAATAATTTCGAAAGACTGCGTAGGTGTGCTTGACAAACGTGAGACAATCCTACCACGTCAGGTGGACGAAACTAGATCACAGAGGATGGAATAACAATAAGGACACACCTTTGTATCAAGGTTTGATGGTAGAGACATGCCAAAGGGAAAGACATCCGCCCTCCATGGACAATACGACTAGCATATAACGTCCATTGTTATGCGTCGGTCACACCTTAGTGATCAGGTGACTAATGCTTTTTTAAATGACAGCGGTCATCGCGGAGCTAAGTATGTCGTAGTGTGCATCAAACAAACCAGTAGTAATGGTGATTGCTTTGCTATGGTCTCTTACCATACCTCGCAGAAAGGTATTTGGACATTAGTTTCTGGTGAATTTATGTTTGCCATAAACAGGCAAAGAGATTTGGAAATGTGAAATTAGGACATGTCGAGCAAGAGTTCACACAATAGATGATCACATAGTATTAGAGACGTGTGATCATAACGATGTACCTACCAGAAAAGAAACTTACACGTTATGTTTGTGTTGATGATGTAATAAAAACAATAGTTTAACGTTACGAACCTTCAGACACAATCACATTTTTGAAAGATATTTCGCGTGATATGAACATTAATGTTGTATAAATAACTTTACTTTATTTGTTTTATTCATTATCATTTATCAAACTTTTCAGGCTAAAAGAGTAAGTTTGTTTTAATTTTTACTTTTCAAATCAAATTCTACTACAATTGCTTAATACACCTTTTGATGGTTTGTTAGGTTTCACTAATTCATTTTATTCACAATTATTATACGTAAAAAAGTAAACAAAACCATATTAACAGTCAATAAAAAAAGTTCAACTAAAATCATCGTAAATACTATTAAAAATTCGCTGTGAGATATTTTGTCTGAGATATTTTGTCTGAGATCATTTGTCCATGGTATCATTTGTCCTGATATATTTTGTCCTGGTATCTTTTGTCCGTGAGATCATTTGTCCTTGAGATCATTTGTCCTGAGATCATTTGTCCTGAGATCATTTGTCCGTGAGATATTTTGTCTGAGATATTTTGTCTGAGATCATTTGTCCTGAGATCATTTGTCATGGAACCATATATATATATATATATATATATATATATATATATATATATATATATATATATATATATATATATATATATATATATATATATATATATATATATATATATATATATATATATATACACATATATACACATATATACATATATATACATATATATATATATATATATATATATATATATATATATATATATATATATATATATATATATATATATATATATATAATGTTTACATATATACATAGGCTATAAATAGGTGCCACAAGAAAATTTCAGCCAGCCTTACTCAAGCTTAATCCGCCCCTGCGAAGTAGAACCCCTCATTAGACCTATACTTGTCAAACAACCATTTTCTATCAGGCATCTGTTCAGGGGGGGGGGGGGGGCGAAGAAATAGAAAGATTTATATAGAAAATATATAGTTTAGCCAATGTCTGCCCCCTCTGCGGAAATTATGTCTGCCTCCCTGCCACCATCCCGAATGTCTACCTCCTCCGCGGAAATTTATGTCAGCCACATGAAAATCAATGTCCAATACCCTGAATCCCACATGACATAACTTTTACTCACATCCATGCAGAAAAAAACCCATTAGAAATTGTAGACCCAAAAGGCCTACAATCCAGTAAGATCACATCGTAAATAATTTCACAGTTATGTTCCCAGCTGGTAACATTCCCATGAAGGGTGTCAAAACTTTAATATTTTTGAGTTTTAAAGACAAGGTTTTACAACAGGGTAGAAAAGGGTAATGTGTAATAGTTGTTTATATACCATGGCTTGTAAAGTGGTTTCAATATAATTCTTTGCATAAAAAACCCATATTTACAAACTATTTAATAGCTTTTAGAATGTTTCAGCCTGATTTACCCACGTTTTCTTTAACTTGCTTTCGCGTCTGTTTGTTTGTTTGTTTGTTTGGTTCTCCAATCAAATCTTGCGATCGAAATTTCGGGCACTTCCCAGTTAGCTAGCGCGCTGAAATTTTCAGGGAAGCTTTGTTTCCGATGACAATAGAATATTCAATTGTTATTATTACTAAATTGATCCATGGAAACATTTTATATTTCATTTTAGACCACTATATATTTGTACAAAAAACGTGGGAAAAGGGACATAACCCAGTAATTGTAATTTGATGAAAACAAGGTTCGATACTCTTCCTCTTTTGGCTTACTGAGTAGTGGTCACACGGTGTTTGTGTACAAACAACCGGAACGTAACAACTGGTGGCCATTATGGGGGAGACGATATGGTCGAGTGGTTGGGCACACGATTGCTAACCCACTCGACACGGGTTCAAGGCACGTGTTTTTTACGAGTTGTCTTCGTTTACCCCCCAAAAAAAAGTGAATGCGAAAAGATAAAATCGATAGCAAGATTTTAATGCAAACAAACAGACAAAGACTAAAAAGTAGAAAATAATTATCATTAAACAAGTTTTTAAAAACCCACGTTTTCTGATTGAACTAAAAAGTAGAAAATAAATGCTATACATCACAATAATGCAAGAGATCACTCTACTATAAGCGATGAAAAACGTGGGGCGCCGTGATTTTTTTACAGTTTCTAATACTGTTGACTTTCTACAAGCTCCCTAATAAAAGTCAATAGTATTATCTAATCAATAGTAATATAACTTTTACATCTTATATTAACAATGACCGATAAAAAACTTTTACTTCGGCGCCCCCACGTTTTTCATCGCTTATAGTAGAGTGATCGCTTGCATTATTGTGATGTATAGCATTTATTTTCTACTTTTTAGTTCAATCAGAAACGTGGTTTTTTTTTTAAAACTTTTTTAATGATAATTATTAAAGATTTCAAAGCATTGAGAACTGCTTATTTCTTAAATAAAATATTATCTTTTATGTTTTTATATGAAATTTAGTGTATAAATGCTACATGCATTTATTTTAAAATATCAAAATTACGTTTTAGTGTCAACAAGAGAAAGTAGGCTATCTTGTTTCTTATTTGGTTACATAAAAAGCAGGAGTTGTTTAATAATTGATAGACGTGCCTATTATTATCTTTACATTTTGTATCACAGATACATTGAAAAAGAGACAAGAGACAAGCAAATTGGAATTGGAGTTGGTGTTGGAGTGGGTGGCTTAATAATTATATCTATTATTGCCACTCTTGTTGTTAGACATAAACTCAAGTCCAGGAAATATCAAGGTAAGCAGTAGCATTATTCATTTATGCTTATAATAGAGACCGATGTTCAACTCTTAAAACATCTAATTTAGGATTTGATTACATTTTAACTTATATATCTTGCGTAAAAAAAAATTAATATGATTATTATTTTGTTATTTCTCCTGTTAATTATGGTATTTAAATGTGTTTTCATTTACAGCTGATTAAAATGAAAATGCCATGTGTTGGTCCTTTCGTGGTGGTTTTTAAGGATTCATCATTTGAAAATAGAAAAGAAAGTGAAACCAAGAAACACATCTAATCTTATTGTATTCTACATAAAGATTAATATTTATATCTAATTATTACATTATAGAGGTTTTTTTTGTGTATAACAAGTTTTAACTCTGCCCTTTTAATTTAGATTTGAAGTATGTTCATTTTTTACAATTCACATCAGCTTACCTATCACTATGTTGACTTGAATACATCAACAATGAAACCAAGTACAATGCATATTGCTTCCTTTATTCAACAGTAAAAAGTATCAAATGTTATTCTATATCCATGTTCCGATACAGCAGTATCATATTATCATTTGTGTTTTTTTCTCTAATTATTTTGTACTGAACATCCATCTAAACATATCTTGTCGTAATGCGTTTTAGTTTGAAGTCGTGATTGTTGTATATAACACTAAATACATATGAAGACATGTAACATTTTCTACTTTTCTATAGCCTTTAATATTTTTAATAAAGAAATATTTTAAAACATAGCATTTTATTTTTCATTTTTGAATTTTTCGTCTCTAAATTTCGTAAACATTTTTAAACACTTTTATAAGAAGTCTATTTCATATGGCGTCTAGACCGCACAATATTTTTAAAAATATTTTGTTATTCAACAAAAAACTTTCGGTCAATTCAAGACTGAGATCAAGATTGATTACTCTTCGTGGCATGGTAAAAACGGGCCTTTTTTATAGGTGAGCGGGAAAAAAAACTGAGGGAAAACCAATACAAAACCTATTTATTTGAACTGAAGTTAGATTTAGTTACCTTTCGACAAAATTAGAAGTACAGAAATTTCAAAATAAGTAATAAGTTAATGCGCTTATAGTAAATTACTTGTCTGTTTTATGTGAGTCAAATTAAGGGAAAAGGCAGCAAAGTCCTTAAGTACATGATTTAGAAATGCAGCTGTAGATAAACTTAAATGATCGTCGCCCCGGGGCGGACGACCTCCTATCACTCCCATATCTACAATACTACTAGTATTTTGTAGCGTAACCTACCAAATTAAAAAGTTGTATGTTAGTTGTCTTCCCCAATAAATCGATGGTCTCGGTTGATTTAACAGTCGTAAGCGCTACTCTTCGACCATTGGTACGGTTGCAACGATTTCCAGACGCTGATAATCCCATTAAAAAGTTATTTTTTGTTTATTTTAGTACATTTCTTTCCCTTCTTTTTTTTTACTTGTTCGTATACAGAGTAGGCCTATAGAGAAAGTATTGTAATCGTGTACCAAATAAACCGGGAGTGATCTCCCCTAAACTTTCTCGAATATTCTAATATAACATTACGTGGGATGTCAACTCGGAATATAGACATGATTTTTGTTTACTTAAACTTTTAAAAATAGAATAAAATCTAGTAGAAAAAAAAATTGCGCACCAAGCGAGCACCAAAACCAAATGTGCGTAATAGTGCGCAATATTATTAGTACTTTATAAATTTACATGCGTTTTTTGAGAAATCGGAAATAGCGTAAATTAGTACTTCCGGTCAACGGAAATTACTCAAAATTTAACAGAAGGTAGAGAATTAGATCTTTTACTTACATGTGAAATTTCATTTATCTATCTGAATTAGTACTCAAGTTATAGGCTTTTGAAAAATTCAAAGTAGAAAAAGTACCACTTCCGGTTATCGGAAATCGCTCAAAAGTTGATACGGATCTACGATTTTGATATAATACTTATATATATATGACATTTCATCAACCTAGCTGTAACGGTACTCAAGTAATCGTGTTTACACACAGACAGACACACAGACACACAGACACACACACACACACATACGGACAAGATTGCAAAATTATGTTTTTCCGTATCAGTGAGGTGTAAAACGTCGAGATTTGTAAAAAATCTCGATTTTTTTTTTTTGCACGATTACAATACTTTTGCAAATCTCGACGTTTTACACCTCCCTAAGTCGGAAAAACATAGTTTTGCAATCTTGTCCGTATGTCTGTGTGCATGTGTGTGTATGTGTGTGTGTCTGTAAACACGATAACTTGAGTACCCTTACAGCTAGATTGATGAAATAATTAACGTGAAGTAAAATTTATTCTACTTTCGGTTTTCAAAAGCCGATAACGTGAGTACTGTTTCTGATAGAAGAAATTTCACATTGAAGTAAAAGATCTAATCCTCTGTTTTCTGTCAAATTTTTAGTAATTTCAAGTGACCGGAAGTAGTACTTTACGCGATTTCTGATTTCTCAAAAAAAAAGCGCATACGAATCTATTAAGTACTAATGTTCCGCACTATTACACACACATTGTTTGCTGTTCACTTTGTGCGCAATTTTTTTCCTACGAGATTCTATTATAATTTTAAAAGTTTAAATATGGAAAAACATTAAATAAAAAGCATGTCTATAACCCGAGTTGCATATATATATATATATATATATATATATATATATATATATATATATATATATATATATATATATATATATATATATATATATATATATATATATATATATATATATATAATATAAATATATAAAATATATAAAACCAAATATATACAGTATTAGTCAACACATAACTATATTCAATGCACTCGCTGATTAAGAGACTTCAAATTAAGAGACTTAAAAGATTTCGGCTGATCAATGGTAGTTGTGTTGTTTTGTCTTTTAAAAACACCTATTCGGCTGAGCATGAGTCTGACTACACAATCACTTCATATATCGAAAAGACAGAAAACTGTGAACTCTACTTCACCTGCCCCGTGTTCCGCCAAGTCCCTATAGGCAACTTTATCATTCACATATAAAAAAAAAACAAATTGAAAAAGTGGGTGTGTCTCGAACCAGTACCACTCGCATGGTACCAAATACACTATCATCTCAACTACTGAGTCACCTTAGGATTCATGTAGGATAAAAGAGGTAATTAAGAAACTTAACTTACGCGAATAGGCCCTATTCTTTCAAATTAAAATTTTATCCCAAATTAGCCAATTCCATAGCTAAATAAACTAACAAACTATAAAATAATTAAGGCCTGAAATAGTTTAATATAGAAATTTGTTATTGGAATAGATTCTAGATCTAGATAGTCTAAATCTAGATCTAGATCTATCTAGAGTCGGAAAATAAGAGAATAAACTAATTTGATTTCTAATTTACTTTGGTCGATCATGAGATCTTTTACATATTTTAGCAAAAACAAGCTTTTATGAAAGAAAGTAAATTAGTTTTTTTGTGTTATTTTCAAGTCATTTAAAATCTTGTCGCTATAAAGCTTTATACAAGCTTCCGTTTAGTTCGTAACGTCTGATTGCTTGTGAGTTTGTGGCTAATCTTTAAGCTGAATTTGACCCGCTTTTAAGGTAGCGATTTTGTTCAAACTTTCCAGATACGTTCCACTTTGATGATAATACAAGCCTATCTATGTTTAATTTCAAAATTAGCTAGACGCTAGCACCCGACCAGTTTGGTGAGATGTGGTTCGCCCTGAATGGCGTTTGGTCACGGTTGGTCGCCAGTGTATCGACCAAGTAGAAGGGGAAGAAAACTATCTTTTAAAGATCGCAATCTACTTGTCGGGTTTTAACGCAATTTATTTTAGTCGAAGCCAATATAGGTCTAGTGTCAACTTCATTTAGAATAAATTAATAAAACGTTGACAATAAAAGAAATATAAAAACCTTTATGATAAGAAAATAAACAAACTTTTATTCTTCAATAAAGCTTTGGTTGCGCAAAAGATTTGTTATATGTTTTAGCGAACAAAGTTTTTCTAAAAGAATATGAGTTTGTTTATTTTCATATTTTCAGCGCATTTAAAAGCTTGTTATAAAGGTTTTTATATTTGTTTTATTTTAGCCTAGTTTCTATGTGGGCCCTGACGCTGTTAATGCTACAGCCAAATTGAATTGATGTCCGCTTAATGTCTTGTTTAAAATCTTACAAGTGTTAAATTGTGTTTGTTTTTGGTGCTGACTGTGTGTAAAATTGGATTATGTCTTTGAAATTTTTAATGTAGTGCTTGTCTAGTAATAGTGTGTTATTGAATTTCAAGTACGTGTTGCGTTTTTGTTTATTTTGTGTCCGTTCGTTGTTTAAATTTATAAGAACTGCATTATGGTCGCTAAATTGTAGAGTTGGTAATAGATGTTCTACTCTGTTGATTTTTATGTCCACTGGGGCGTAAATTCTGTCTAGTCGGAATCTATTCCAAGATGTTTCGCTTCCGTGGGTGGATTGTATGGTGTGTTCTATAGCGTGCTCTGTATGTGTCGACTTGTTTGAAGTATGTTTTAATGTTGTTGATAAAGTTGGCGTGTAGTTTATCTGCCGTTAAGCGGTTTCAAATGAAGCCTTTTGGTCCTACAATGTCTAGTTTGTCTTCCACGAAATTAAAGTCGCCGGCTTACATGATGTCATGTTGATTGTATCTGTTGTTTCAATAACTTTTCCAGGTTTTCATAAAAATTACTGTTGTTGGGTCTGTGTGCTCCATGCACTTTGACTATGCTTAGTTTTTCCCCTTGTCACTCGTTTGTAACTATTGTTAATTCTCCGTCTGAGTCGGCGTGCGTGTCTGTTATGTTGTACTTGTTTGATCTGTTAGAAATTATTGATCCGCTACCCGTGATAAGTGAGCTATAATTAAATCACTAGATTACTATATTCATTAACAGAGTTAGACCTAAGTTGTGACTGAACTTGTCTGCTGTGAATTTATTTTTAGATTTGTTTCTTGTAATATCATGAAGTCAGGTTTATGTTTGGGATAAATAATTTTGTCTTACGTATTTACCATTCAGCGTGTGCTTTGAATGTTGAAGGTTGGGCCTGGGTGTGTTGGGGTAAGCCGTGTAAGGCTCTGGATAGTATCCATTTCAATTATGTGTTCATGGTTAGGGATCAGTGAAGGGGTGTAAATGTTTTCCTTTTTGTCGTGGTTTTGTCCTTTGGGGCTGGGCGTGTTTGGGTTGGCCGTATAGGGCTCTTGGTAATATCCATTTCAATTATGTGTTCATGGTTAGGGATCAGTGAAGGGGTGTAAATGTTTTCCTTTTTGTCGTAGTTTTGTCCTTTGGGGCTGGGCGTGTTTGGGTTGGCCGTATAGGGCTCTTGGTAATATCCATTTCAATTATGTGTTCATGATTAGGGATCAGTGAAGGGGTGTAAATGTTTTCCTTTTTGTCGTGGTTTTGTCCTTTGGGGCTGGGCGTGTTTGGGTTGGCCGTATAGGGCTCTTGGTAATATCCATTTCAATTATGTGTTCATGATTAGGGATCAGTGAAGGGGTGTAAATGTTTTCCTTTTTGTCGTGGTTTTGTCCTTTGGGGCTGGGCGTGTTTGGGTTGGCCGTATAGGGCTCTTGGTAATATCCATTTCAATTATGTGTTCATTTTATATGTTCGTATGCTGTTTTATTTTTATTAAAAGTCTTGTCTTTTTTTTACTGATACTGTTGTTC